AATTGGGTTGAAACTTGGTATGTGGTTATACCAGGATGTGTTATAGATTAAAAATGAGGTGACGTCATGATGACGTCATCCTGAGATTTTATATGAATATTTATTTTTTTGGACCTTTTAGCCATATCTCCCTAATGCAACATGCAAAATGCAAAATTCTTTTTTGCATTTGGTCTGTTATGTAATAGCTATTCGCACAAAACTTGAAATTGTGTGACGTCATCATGACATCATCAAAATGCGATTTTTCAAAACTCATATAAGGAAAGGTCCAATTGTCATGAAACTTGGTGGGTAGGTAGTTAATCATACTAGTATGCAAAGTTCTAAGTGACGTCACGATGACGTCATCAAAAATTTTTTAAAAATTGTCGATTTTCAAAGCGCTTTTTCGACTCTTTGCCAATAATTTATTCAGATCACTCTTTGTCCAAGCAAAGACCTTGTACACACGCACATACATCGTATTGCCGAGGTCAGATCCTGTCCACAGTGACCGTTTTAGCCGATTTTCGGCTAACTTTGACAGATTTTATGTTCATGCATATTCAGGGCATATTATTGATTTAAAAAAATCATAATGCGGAAAAGCCCTATGTTCTGTTGCAAACAGACATAGACCTCTAGTCTTTCTTCTTTTTGTTGCCTAAACCCCAAAGACTTTGTACACGTTTTTTCTCACCGCCAATTTTGGCATTAATCTTTGCCGTACGACATTCAAAGTCAGCATAGCCATAGTCCTTATAGCATAGTTGTGTCCCGAAGAGTGACGTCATTATACGTCATCATGGGACACATGACGTCATCACAAACGTGCATATTTTGAAGTACTATATCTACAGAACTGTAAGTCCAATTGGGTCGAAACTTGGTATGTAGTTAGACCGGGATGTGTTATAGGTAAACATTGAGGTGACGTCATGAAGACGTCATCGAGTGATTTTATATGAATTTGGACCTTTAAGCCATATCTCACGAACGCAACATGCAAAATTCAAAATTCTTTTTGTATTTGGTTCGTTAGGTAATAGATATTTGCACAAAATTTTGAAAAGTGTATGGCGTCATCATGACGTCATCAAAAATGCGATTTTTCAAAACACATATAAGGAAAAGTTCGATCGTCATGAAACTTGGTGGGTAGGTAGATAATAGTACTAGTATGCAAAGTCCGAAGTGACGTCACGATGACATCATCGGTTGATTCTTTAATGATTTTTTTAATATTCATAATTTTATTCTGCTTCCAAAATTGCACACTTCCTTTCATTGGATTGACTTGTAAACTTGGTTCAAACGAAAACCACAATGACAAAATGTGCATTGAGAAGGGCTTTCAAGATGACGTTATCGCAGGGCATGTGACGTCATGTGATAAAGCTTTATTTTTGGAATTATTCTAAGCATTGTGAACAACCTTTATAAATACTCTAAAAAGTGACTGCAAAAGACAAACTTAGCATAAAATTTATAAAATGTGAAAAAGCCCTGCGTTCTGTTTTCAAACAGACATACAGCTCTAGTTTCTCTTCCCCCCCCCCAAAAAAAACGTTTTTCCCCATAAGGATAGCACATGTTTTCGTTCTACAAGTCACTTTTGGACTTTTTCAAATCCGATCGACTTCAAACCTGGCACGCACTTAGACCACCATCTGAAGATGTGTGCCGAATCATGACGTCATGATGACGTCATCACGTGTCACGTGACGTCATCCTAAAAGTGCCTATTTTAAGGCCCTATATCTTCACAACCGGAAGTCCGATTGGAATCAAACTTGGTATGCAGGTATTCCGGACACATGTTATAGACAAAAATTGCAGTGACGTCATCATGTGATTTTATATGATGTATTCAATTTGTGGACCTTTTAGTCGTATCTCATCAACGGATGGTAGTTAATTCGAAATTCTTTTGTAAGGTTTGTTTCGTCATAGATAGATACAGAAAATTTCGAAAAATTGGTGACGTCAATCATGACATCATCAAAAACATGATTTTTTTAAAAACATATAAGGGTATGTCCGATCGCTGTGAAACTTGGTTGGTAGGTAGGTACTGATAATAGTATTCAATATCTGAAGTGACGTCATCATGACATCATCAACTGATTTTTTTTATTAATTTTAATTTTTTTTAATGTTTTCCTCTTATTACAAAAACTAACATAAAATACCCTCAGATTGACTTCAAGGGAGACCAAGACCCTAAGTTTGTATTGTTTCTAAACAAGTTATGTCGTTATTACTCATATGACATCATCTACATTTTGCTAATTTACTTCTTAATTAACACCAAATTCACTTCTAGACAGTCAAATATTTTTTTAAAAGAATACATATGTACCTGTACATTCGACTTGGATGAAACTCCTTCATGGCAGTTGATGCTAAAACGGTCGAAACAGCTCAGTGTTTGTCCACAAACACATTTCTAGTTAGCTGTCATTTCAATTGGGAACAGCTACTGTTTTCGTTAAAGCTTTTTTCCCCTTTTTAGCTGTTCCCAATTTCAATTTATGCCGGGAACAGCTATTGTTTTTGTTAAAGATTTTTTTGTTCATTTTTTTTTAAGACAGAGAAACTCAAGCATTAAAGATTCTTTTAAGCATGTTTTATGCTGTTTATGGTGCAAAATGGTCTTTGAGACGGCATAATTTTTTTAAATTAGCAACCAGCACGCGATAACTGGGCATCCTGAGCCTGCCATACATCATGTACATTTCTAGCACTGCGTGTGTTTTTATGGACAATGTATCATACTCGACCTTGTGCATGCGAGGTGAAGTTTGTCCGTGTAGTCTGAGTACCATCCGTTGTTATAGAGCGGTCATGGGTGGCTTGTGCGTAAAGTGCTCGCCTCTCACCAAGGTGACCACGGTTCGAATCCTAGCCGCGGATCGCATGTGAGTAGAGTTGTGCGTTGGTTCTCTCCTGTGCCACGAGGGTTTTTCTCTGGGCCCTCTGGTTTTCCTCCCCCCGGAAAAATCAAACACTTTCGATCTCAGGCTGTGCTCCGTGGTCATATATGGGTCGATGTGGCCGGCAGCCATAGGCGCCTTCACGTGCCAGCGGCCCGACCACGTTGTAGCCGCGTTCTTCGCAATTCAGCATACCAGCTGCGAGTAAGGATGATTAGCCTCCCAAATTATTATTATTCCATAGAGACCATAGGCTACAGGTACACATCGAGTGGTTTATCGTAAATGCAACTAGGGTTTTAATGACTGGAAAACGGCTGCTACCCCCAATCCGCCATAAAGCAATAAAAGAATTCACATCATGCATTAAATGAAAGCGTTCAGAAGGACATTTAGTCAGACGTCTTTCAAACATTCAATATGATGGCACAAGTTTTAAAATATTATATCAAGATGCGTTTCTAGACTCTTTAGATACAAATAAGGTGTTTGAGAGAGGATGTTTGAAAAGTATAAATTTTCTTTTTCTAATCTCCTTACATGATGCACGCTTTGATAAACCCCATTCCCATCTCTACTCGTCCATCGTCGGACACATAAACTGGTTCCCGTATGTAGTTTGTGCATCTAATATTAAAAACAAAATGACTCAAGACTTGACTTGACTTTGATAAAAATTGACTGGGGACTTGACTTGACTTGGAAAAAAATGACTTGGTTACAACTCTGCTATTTGCGATGTCATGAGTGACTTAATACTTGAGAACATAGGACGCTCACAAGGCATACTTGCTGCGGGGCACTATGGGTAGGATGCTAGAGGACGCTATTGTGTAAACTCTTAACGTGAATACATGCCGGTCTAAGAAATATGCATAAGTAGAGTGCTCTACAGGTAAGTATTAGTTCAAAGACCCCATCCCCACTTCCAAGGCTGAGGAAACTACTTTTTCTGTTCAAAAACAGAACTCCAATTTTTTTTCGTTTTTCCTGGCCATTCATTTATACACATTCATATTCATGACAGTTAAATGCTTTGGAGTACAGTAAACATGAACAAAAAGAGCACATATATTCAAGTATTAAAGGGTTTATGCAATGATTTTTTTCTAAGGAACACATTTTGTGCAACTTCATATTCCACTTAAATGTATGAAAACTATTTGACATCACTTTTGGGTTAATTTTATTAACCCAAGCGCACTTCTTTGAACATTAAACAAATTTTCATACTTTAGATGGTTTACACATGCATTGCTTACAGAACCAATTTTCACCATTTATGCGAGGCCCATTCTGCGTTGACTACTGAAAAAATATTTGTGCATGACAAATTTGAATGAAATATTTCACATATTTTATTCAAGTCAATCTATAAGATAAGCGTCTCTGAATTGGGATGGAGCCACCCTTCCTCTCACTCATCAAAAATTCTGACAACTCTTTGTGTTGAAATAGCTGTAACATTAGTTCATGAAAATGGAATTCGCATTAGCATTAAAATAAAAAAGGTAACAAAATACCCTTAAAATGACAAAATGAAAATTGAAAATAAGGGTAAATGGGACACAAAGGTGCATTTTCAAGGATTGCATTAAAACATAAATCCATACATGGACCCTTTAACCTGTACATCTTAAGCGCTGAAAGCTAATGTCCGTGATGCTCTGTTAGTGAGTCCGGATATGCTAAATTTCACAAAATCTTATGCATTTACCTGATTTTGTCAAGCAAGTGTAAAAGAGATGATGAATGAAATAAGATTATAAAATGGTGATGAAAGACTGAGGGGCTATTAAATGTGTTTATAAAAAATGTATTTACCTTAAAAACACTTTCATTAGATGCATCACTAAGGATGGTGCTTTTCCCAAATACCTTTCGTACATCCTGTAATAAATGACACCACAATTTGCTTCCAAGCAAAAGTTGAAAAAGCTTCTTGCCATTTCGTTTAGATACTTCTTTACGTATTTGTCTAGTTTTACTTCTTCAATCAATTTTTGTCAGTCATAAGAAATGAAATTCCTCAATCAAAAGAAAATGCCTGCATCATTGACTTTTTACAATTTATTTTAACAGGTTCTTTCAGCAGATGGTAACACAAAAGTTGGGAAAATATCAAAGCAGTGGAGTGGATTTGCCAAAGAAGCATTCACTGATGCTGATAACTTCGGTATTTCGTTTCCGATGGATTTGGACGTGAAAATGAAGGCGGTTATGTTGGGAGCATGCTTCCTGATTGTAAGTATGGATAAAACACTTTTGTGTTTAAATTTAAGAAAATGTGGTGTGTTTTTATGCCCCGCGGTGAAGCCGAAGGGGCATACTGTTTCCGCCGTGGGGGTGTGTGTGTGTGTGTGGGGGGGGGGGGTGTGTGTGTCCGGATAGATCTTGTCAGTGCGATAACTTGAGAAATACTTTACATATGAACTTCAAATTTGGTTTGTGGATTGTCCTTGGCAATCTTAAGAAGCCTGCATTTGGGGCCGAAAGGTCAAGGGTCAAGGTCACAGTGGCTAAAACAAAAGAAATTTTGTCAGCACGATAACTTGAGAAATACTTTACAGGTGAACTTCAAATTTGATTTGTGGATTGTTCTTGTAATCCGAAAAAGCCTTTTGCATTGGGGGTCGAAAGGTCAAGGGTCAAGGTCACAGTGGCTAAAACAATAGAAATCCTGTATTTATTCTGAGATCATAGGGATTCATCCATATAAAACCTACAGAAAACACTAATGTTGTCAATGAACGTTCCATGTGACCAAGGTACATGTAGGTTGATGTTAAAAGAGTGGTGTTATGTCATGGGAGCAGTCACGGTTGCGGGGCATTTGTGTTTGTCAACACACCTGACTTGTTTTCAAACATTTTCTCCTTAGTAGCAAGTCAAAAAGTTGCAAATTTGTCCTCCGCAATATTATTGCCCATTTGAAATGTTGATGCCTCAGAAGTGCAAACAGAGAAATTGTGTGTTAATGTTTTACTTCAAGACTTATTTAGGGTTACAGATTTGCAGGAAAACAAAACGATTCTCCAAACAAATCACCTCAAGGTCATCAGTCAATTTCAAACTTTGTCCAAAACTAGATGTGTCTGTTTTTGTCAGATATCTCTGTTTAATGATTTGTATTGGTAATGATTGGTCAAACGTCTGTACACAGACCTGTTTGCAAATATTGTGTAATCATATACATCATATACATGAGGTGAGAACACCTGTACCATTGATCCAAAGTGAAACTCTTTCAGAAGTTGGGGGGTTTTTTTGAGGAAAATTGGGTGAAATTACAGATGTAAGATTTAAAATTAAGTTGTGCTCAATTATTGTTTATATAGCATGTTAAATATAAATTACATGTATTAATTATTGTACAAGCTTTGCCTAATATCTGCCTGCAACACTCTCATTCGTGTTGTAGTATTTTATATCACGAAAAAATGCGTAGACTCACATGAACACACTGTTTAATGCAATAGGGTTCTGCTTAACGCTTGAATAGAGGGTGTTACAACTGATAATGTAGTAACCAACGGATGACGTATCACCGCCCGATAATGTATCACAAATTAACTGATCAACATTGTATCACTATTAAATCGATGATGTAGCAAAAGTTAACTGATAGTGTAGTAAAATTTGTATCCGATAATGTAATTAACAAAAAATGTATCCAACAATTTATCGCCTGTATTTGCCTGCAACCCCCTATTGGGTCCCTCTTTTGTTTGTATTTAACTTTTCAACACCTTCCATATGTTTTGTACACGATCGGGAATTGCAGACCCTATTGTCCTCTATTCAACATCCCCTATTGGATGCAGAAACAAAGTCATATCAACCGTCATACTGAGTGTTTTATATTACTCTGACAACATGATGGCGTCATCAGGTGTCAAGGACAAGCGATTTTAGCTGAAGAATGACCAATTAATTTCTTTCATATATTACTCTTGGACGAAATAATCAATGATGGTTGTGTATTGTACATCGGAGAGGGGTTGTTCTCCGTGTCTATTGCAGCTCGGTGCTAACAATTCAAAAAATATCGTGAACAAGACACCTCGAAAACAGATTTTGATTCGTACATATATATCGAACACACACATATCGAATGGCATGTGTGTAGCCAAGCTACCGCGTGTAACCTGAGCTCCCACTAAAGATACAATGTAACAAGTTAAACCGTTCTTTGGGTTTTACGCGGCAATTATCCTCAAATAAATCACTGAAAAGGCACCCATTGGTTGAGCCTTGTGGGTTTTCATAGACATCATGCGCGTATGGGGGTTATGACTCCGGGAGTAATGAAAATCCATATTTCCAATACGAAGAAGAAAATGTCTGGTTGTGCAAAACAGATTCATTCATTGTTTTCTTATTTGTCCATCCACTGACTTAAGTTAGATTGAACGCATAACTTACTATTTTGGTGAGAGGGGGAGGGTTCTTTTTCGTATTTTTTATATTCCCCTTTAGGAAATACTTTGCAATGCCCCCCCCCCCACACACACACACACAACTTCCCGGATACGCCCCTGAAAAAAAGGACAGTAAACAATGTATTGTTGTTTTTCTATTTGAGATTTGTTTGAATTTTGTAAGTGCAACAATAATTGGGCCCGTGCAAACAATAAGACATAAACAAACATTTGTACATACCTTTTGCCAAATACCTTGGATCCATGGTAGCATCCAGCGCAACCGACCTCAAAAGACGCAAGGCACTGGCCTGGACGACTTTTTGGAAGTTGAAACAGCTGTGGAGAAGCCCCTCCTTACCAATTATCACCAAAATGAAGTTGTTCAACACAACATGCATCACAGTTCTATGGATGTGAGACATGGGTTATCTCCAAAGACATGGAAAGCAAAATAAATGCTCTTGCCACCTCTTGCTACCGCATTATGCCGAGCTTCAAGCGCACCGACCATGTCCCCAATGCCATCATCTATACTATGACTGGATCGTGTAAGAACTTTATTTAGTTCGGCAGCTCAAGTTCCTTGGGCACATGCTCCGCATGCCAGACCATGAGCCTGCAAAAGTGTATGCCTTTTATACACCACCCCAGGGGAGAAGGAAACCAGGAAGACAACGCACATCATACCTAACTTATATTCAACGCTTGCTTGGAGATAGTGATGGCATGCTGCGACCAGACCAAATCGCAACACTTGCCCAAGATCGCAGTTATTGGAAGAAGCTTGTAGTCGCCTGCTCCACAGCCGAAGGATGATGATGATGATACCTTTTCACATACTGATACATTATTGGTTGATTTTGATACATTATCTGTTGATAGTATCCGTTTTGTGGTGATACATTATCGTATACATTTTTTTTGGTAACTACATTATCCGTCGACATGTGATACAGTATCAGATACAAATTTTACTACACTATCAGTCAATTGTTGCTACATTATCGGTTAGTGATACGATATCAGTCAATGTGTGATACATTATCGGGCGGTGATACGTTATCCGTTAGTTACTACATTATCAGTTGTCGGTTAGCGATACAGTATCAGTCAATTGTTGTTACGTTATCCGTTGGTTATGACATTTTTAAGTTGTAAACTGCGCGTCGTTATCTGTGTCCATCGCAGTTCAGTGCCAAAAAGGTGAAACATATTGCGAACAAGACACCTCGACAACAGATTCTCGATGCTGCCATTTTGATTCGTACATGTTATACACATACATATCGAATGGCATGTGTATAGCCAATCTACAACAGGAAATGATCGTGTAACCTGAGATGCCACAAAACATAAAATGTAAGAAGTTTAACCATTCCTTTTGTTTACGCGGCAATCATCCTTAAATGAGCCACAAAAAGGCACCCTTCGTTGCGCCTCGAGGGTTTTCATAGACCGCATTCAGTAAACAACGTATTGTTGTTTTCCATTTGAGATTTGTTTGAATTTGTGAGTGCAACGATAATTTAGCACGTGCAGACAATGAGACATAAACAAACATCAATCATCGGTTAGTGATACAATATCAGTTAATTTGTGATGCATTATCGGTTGGTGATATGTTATCCGTTGGTTACTACATTATCAGTTGTAACACAGTTTGTCCACAAACATTAGTCTATTTTTTTTTATGCCCCGCGGCGAAGCCGAAGGGGCATACTGTTTCCGCCTTGTCCTTCCGTGTGTGGGTGGGTTGGTGTGAGTTTGTCTTACATACGCAGTGTGGACTTCCGAACAAAAGACGTCCACATAATGTAGGTAGCACCGACGTTGTGTGGACTTGCCCACGTCCACACAGTGTTTCCCCATTTCTGGAAAACAGGTTTAGAGGCATTTTTGGGTTAGGTTTATCTGTAGCAGAATGAAGAGAAACACTAAAGGGAATCATAGAAAAAAAATTGGGTTGAAAGAGTTTTCACAGTTTGAGAAAAATGAGTTTTTTCACTGGTTTTTCTTAACTACACGAAAGCAATGGAAAGTCCACACTAGTCATGTGAAACAAGTGTGAGTTTGTCTTACATACGCAGTGTGGACTTCCGAACAAAAGACGTCCACATAATGTAGGTAGCACCGACGTTGTGTGGACTTACCCCACGTCCACACAGTGTTTCCCCATTTCTGGAAAACAGGTTTAGAGGCATTTTTGGGTTAGGTTTATCTGTAGCAGAATGAAGAGAAACACTAAAGGGAATCATAGAAAAAAAATTGGGTTGAAAGAGTTTTCACAGTTTGAGAAAAATGAGTTTTTTCACTGGTTTTTCTTAACTACACGAAAGCAATGGAAAGTCCACACTAGTCATGTGAAACAAGTATGGGTGGGTGGGTGTGTGCGTGCGTGTGTGTGTCCGGACAAATCTTGTCAGCGCGATAACTTGAGAAATACTTTACATGTGAACTTCAAATTTGGTTTGTGGATCGTTCTTGGTATTCCAAATAGGCCTATTGCATTGGGGGTCGAAAGGTCAGGGTCAAGGTCACAGAGGCTAAAACAATAGAAATCTTGTATTTATTCTGAGATCAAAGGGATAGGGATTAATTCATATAAAACCTACAGAAGACACTAATGCTGTCAACGAACGTTCCATGTGACCAAGGTACATACATGTAAGTTGATGTTAAAAGAGTGGTGTTATATCATGGGAACAGTCACGGTTGCGGGGCATTTGTGTTTGTAAACACACCTGACTTGTTTTATTTTTCAGTCATTTTGCCCATAGTATTTGTATATTTTTTTTGTTCTCGGCACTTTGGGCACTAAAATCAATCGGATTGCGACCACCATCCACAGATGTGTGCCGAACATTGACGTATCATGACGTCATCACGAGTAACGTGACGTCATATTAAAAGTGCATATTTTGAAGGTCTATATCTACAGAACAATAGGTCCAATTGGGTTGAAATTGGTATGTACCTAGACCGGGGGTGTGTTATAGATGAAAATTGAAGATACGTCATGATGACATCATCACATCAAAGGTGCATTCTTCTACGGCCTATGTCTACATAACTAATTGGTCCTGATCAATCTGCATTTTTGTACCGTATTTATTATATTAGTTTTAATATAAATAATAATTACCGGCAATGGGGTAATAGGGAGACTTTCCCATAGACTTGTGCACAAAAATTTTCCGATTTAAATATTCCCTTGTCCTTTTTCCACGAATTTCGGTATTTTTACTAATTAGACCACGAGCAACAAATATCAACATTTTTCCTCTAAAGGGGGGCTGCGCCAATAGGGAGACACCTAGGTGTCTCCCTATTAATCCCGTGCCTCCCTACTATCGAAATTTCTTCGCTAACGTGTCTCCCTAATTTGTAGGAATAACCATTTGTAGGAATAACCTCAACGAGGAACCTTATCCCGCTTATGCATGTGCTTGGATTTGCATATGATACGACTCATCGAGTTATTAATAGGTGCCTTATAGTATCCAAATTTTAAATTTCCGTTTGTTTGTTTTTCAGGACTTCATGTTTTTTGAACGATCTGGAAATAAGAAAGACCAAAAGAAGGCTGGTATGTTGCACTAAATTATATCAAGTTTCAAAGTATCTGGTGAGTATATGGGTCAAAAGGACGTTAGACATCTGATGCTCAAGATTTAAAATTTTTATCTTTTTTTTCACATCGTATTTTCATTATTGTATAATAGTCACTTTTTTTCAATGATACATCATTGCATATTTTTTTCTGATAGGCTGTCTGAAAACAAACATATACAGTTTTGCCTTACGTAGAGCTTGTTAATAGATTAGTATATATTTACCTCAAGGCATCGATTTATGTCATGCAAGATTTCAAACAACCAGGGTTTAAAAAATATATATATCTGTAAATGTAAGACATTATGTAGATTTCTGTGACCTAAACCTTTGAAATATGGCTATTTTTAGAAAATGGAACACTCCACTTTGGCAAGTCTCTTGTATCTCCATTTCATTCTTTGTAACAGAAATGAAACATTGGACCGATGCATCTTATGCGGTCATGTTGTCTTTGAAGCACAAAACCAGTACATTGGATAAAGTAGTAGGTGCAAGCAAAACAAACAGTCATTTGCCGACTTGAAATTGTCTGTTTTTAGAGGCTAGCTCAGAAGCATAACATTCACAATCTTGTGCTGTTTCTCTGACTGCAATGTAGTTTCTGGACTTACAAGATTTGTTAAACCGGTGAAAACCGTTGGATGGAGGTATTCGTGATGATATGGTACAGCTTCTCTGTTAATGGTAAAGTGATTACAATGACAGGTTGCCCCTTGACTATTTGGGGTTCAAGATCATGGTGCTTTTACTGAGACATGTCATGGTGTCAGCTACTGAGACATGCGGCACTTCAAAGAAACCTTGTATCACTGCAACCAAGTTGTAATTGATAAAGTCCTTTGCAGAAAGTGGTCCTTCAAGTGATGTTCCTATTTGATGTACAATCAGCCGGTGTGTTGTTTAACTACAGGATGACCATGTCACTACCCACACGACTCTCTGTCATGATGCCTTCTCCTTCCTCTTCTGCTCAAGAGTTGTCCTGTTTTGTTTTCTTGTGGCATTCCTCATGCATATTGAATATGAATTGATGGAATATTTTGTAGTCACTGCAAAAAAAAAGTATATTTCTTATTGTCCAGTGAGGTCGTCGTGATAAAGGATAAAAAAAAATTATACAAAATCATACAAATCAATTTAACTGTTTTCCGTTTTGTGTTGGGGAGCCATACATAACAAAAATCAGAAAGTAATTTCATTACATAGAATAAGACTTATTTTAAAATATAAGTAACGTCATGAGAATCAATATTCATATGATTATCTATAATAACCAAGGTGCATGAGTTGCATGGTTAAATAAATTACTGTAGTTACATTAACTTTTATTGTCTCGCCTGAACTTTGTTCAGGAAAGAGACTATGTAGCATGTATGTATGTATGTATGTATGTATGCGGTATTTTGGTTGAAGTTCGTAAAATTGGTCTCATTGCAAAAAGTTGAAGTCCAATTGGAACCAAACTTGGGTCATAGATGCAACATGGCAACCTTCATACTGATTAGTCCACTCTTTAAAAGATAATCGCGAAAGCAGGCAGGACTCATGGTTCGAGAACAATCTGGTTTAAATAAATAGAAGTAAATTATACTCACTGTTACTGCATGAATGTGTTTTACGTATCTGTATTCAAATCGTTTAATAATAGTTTGCACCCAGTGCTACTTTAGATGAGTGAGTCAGAGGTGACATTTATTAGAGGGAAACAATACTATTATTGGAAAACAAAGACTGTTGTTTTTCTTTGGGCAAAGTTAATGCAACACTTGAAGTGACTGAACCCCCCCCCCCCCCCCAAGGAAGAAATTGTTTTGTGTTGAGATGTGGAGAATAACCAGAAAGCAATAATAAGCGTGTTTTTTTGTGTTACAAATGCAGGGTGATCGGGTAGACAACTATTTTCATTGGAAATGTGGCCTAGTCCAATTGTGAATAATTTATGTCAGAACAGAAAGAGAATCACGATAAGTCGAACTTTTGCTGGGGAACCAATTTTGTTTAATTTTTAAAGAAATTATGGGGTTTGATAAATTTCATTATGCATATAATTTACATCTAGGCCTACACGTTTCATTCCGATTTGATGATGACATCAGTCAAAAATGTGCAAAACTGAATATTTATTTAGTTAGAAAGGATACATATTAAGTGAAAAAAGGAATTTCTTATCGGTTTTTTTTTTTTTAAGAAATATTTCAGTGGATTTTTTATTTACGGCGCTTAACGCAAGGTAATAACTTCTGGTTCAGACAGGCGTTTCAGAGTCGCGGACTTAGTACACTTGGCAACACTTGCAGCAAGCCGACATTGCATGGCTGCGTGCGCGTTCCTTCTTTAAACGTCTGCCGTATATGTAGGAGATGACGTGTATTAACGACGCTGATTGACTTTTCAGATCGTTCTGCGCACGTATCGAACACAGCTAACCCAACAGCTAGCACGCTGTGTGCGCTCGTGTTATCTCTGTCACGTCACGTACAAACATTGCGCGATTGCCTGTACCATTATGGATATTAGATGTCTCGTTTTTTTGCTACAAAATTTGTCTTGTGTTGTGTACTACGTGCATTAAGTATCAGTTCTTGCTCTATAACACGACGTCGAAATCTCGTGTTTGTAAAGGATTGATTCTGCAAAGAGAAATCTTTCAAATTCTAAGCTCTGCGTTGTGCTTAAAATACATCGACTGCAGTCCTAATTTTTGAAGGTTACTACTTATTTACATACATTTGCATTGAGTTCAAGTTCATGACTAGAGTGACGTCTGAAATCAAAGTCGCTCTTGAGTCGTTCTGGACGACTCCGACAGTCGATCTTTCGCCATCTGGCGCGTCTAGCCGCTACGGTGGCCCAGAACTGTCAGGTCAATTGGCCACGGCAACAGCAAATTCGCAAAAGCGAAATAATAAGGGTGCAACGCTGCAAAACAAACTCCATACTAGACACTAGTGCTAAATGCGCATACTTCAAAATTCTTTTAAAAATATCTCACAGAATATCTCAGAATCTCACAGGTTTTCAAGCTACACAGAAAAATGATGATCAATGTGTCATCTTTTCTTTTCTTTTCATTTTTTGGTGGGTTGACCATTGACTTTCCGAAATTTTCTCACCCAAAGCAGACGACCCCTATTTTCCCCAAAGCGGAAGTAGCCATCTTGAAAAAGATCCCTCCACAGCAAAGAAATCCAAAATGCTCAGAATTGGAAGCCCCAAAGTCCGGGCCAGAGGTTCATTACCATGTCTCTTCAATTCCCCAATTTTATGGCTCTCAAAACTCTCTAATATAGAATATTTTGACTTGGTACAAATCAAATCATAAAGTGAACTAGAAACAAACCCAAATGTACACAAACCAGTCCCTGCGTCGCCTAAACACCGGATGAGTTTTTTTTTTAAACTCCCGGTATTTCGGTTATCACTAACCTAATGGGCCCGCTGGCGAGGTACGTGTTGACAAGCTCTAACCCACCCATCACTGGCAATCCAGCGAGGAACTGATTTTACTCCCTATATGCGTATTAAAGGAACTTCTTCCTACTTCCATTAATATTTTCGTCCCTTCCATCAATATTTTCGTACGTTACGACAACCGCATCTGCTTCCAATGCGGCATCCAAGGCCATCGACTCGAGCACTACAACCAAGACTCAAAGGTTTCTTCTAGACCATCCGATAAAACCGTAGAGCTAACAACATCAATCACAAGATAGATAGCAACGATGCTGACAATCATGCTGACACGTACATCAAACGTGTAAATAGCCACAATGTACATACATACGTGTGCTGCATACAAAGTACAATCTACATGCACATACAGCGATGTTCTTGTGGGAGCCATGTTTAGGTTAGCAATTCAAATTACCATGGCAATGGCATACTTCCAGGCAACCTACGGTTGTGAACTTTTGCAGTAAAGTAGAATAAGTTTACTGAAAGTTTGAATTGCACAATCTTTGTAAATGAGGAGAAATGGATATGCAAAATTCACGTGTGCAACTTAAACTCACGCATAAAAAAATAGGGTCCCGGTGCTTCGAAACGAAGTACGTATTTACATGAAATTAACACTCCAATTTCTCGTCTTCTTAAAAAAGATAAGTAACTGAAACTGTCAGGAAACCTTATTCAACTCATGATTTCCATTAAGGCTAAATTTCATAGTCCCAAACTGTCCACAAAGTGTGCCGTTGAAATCTGAAATGCGAAAATACACGACTTGCACGGAAACACCAATAAATAATGCAAGTGGCAAACGTTGGTGGCGTAGCACCTTTTTTTTTTAAGGCTGTTTTTCTCGAAAAGTGTATTCAACCACTCAGACAATCTGTGTGGTCTTTCTCGCGTTGTATTTTTCAGAAGGGAGTAGGGTACATGAATTAATTTGGTATCATTTAAAAGGTTATGAAATACTCCTTATTCTCTTGCATATATCTCAAAAAGTCAGAGTTGGGGGTTTTTGCTCATTACATTATGCAACAGTATGGTCACATTTATGTTACCTTCGTTATAATAGAAATTGTACGTCTTCAAGAAATGGTCGTGTTTTAGATCGTTGTCTACTTTCCATTTTCATGCCATTATCAGTAAAAACTAAAGTTAAAATTTTGGAATTTTTCTACACAGTTTGCGCAGTTTTTGTTTAACAACTGCATGCTCGTACACGTACACATATCGGCCTCCCTCCTGATCTAGTGTGGTCATCCCATTGAGGTAGGAAATCAATCATTTCTGTAAGATTTAAAACTAGAAATTGTGGTTGTGAACAACCACAGAGCTGTTCCCAATATTGATTATCTGTTGAACCCATAGACATATAAGTAGAAATCTATGTCTGTTTGCAACAGAACATAGGGCTTTTCCGCATTATGATATGTTTTTATCAATAATACGTCCCTGATTATTCATGAACATAAATTCTGTCAAAGTTAGCCGGAAATCGGCTAAAACGGTCACTGTGGACAGGATTTGACCTAAGCAACACGTGCGCTGTGCACGGGCTGACTGACATACGATATGTACAACGTACGTGCACGTGCATGTACATGTACTGTACATTGTGGACGTCCTGTGCATGTTTCAAAGCAGAGGTATTGTCAACCTGAAGCGTGCGCAGGGCATGTCCGAGTTTGCTTATTGCCTCAGAGCTTTCAAATGTTTTAGACCTACCTTTCAATAGACAATTAAAGTAAAAACTAATATAAAAACTGACATGGTTGATTTCTCAGGAATTTTCTAAGGAAAAAGGGTCTTTTCATTATAACTTCCGGTCTGATGACGTCATACACCTTAAATTTCGCACACGTCTTAAGTGGGTCAAGGTCATCATATACACCAATATTTAGGCGATTCCGACAAACTTCGCTACAGACATCTATTCAAAATACATTTTTGAAAATTTTCAACCTGTCGCTAGAGGGCGCTCGAAGATTGCATGACGTCATCGGTAGATGATTTGAAGAATACTATCAGCCAAGAGACTAACACTGTTAAAAGCAAGTTCATATCTATTACCACTTTCAAATTATAAGTCACTTCCGGTTTTGGCCACGTGTTTTCACGCACACTGAATGAAATAAAGATAGGTTGAGACCTAACTCTACCACTTGCCGGCAACAGAATGCTGCGGACGCGTACGGTTGATTTCTTATGCATTTTTAAAAATTAAAAGTGTAACAATTTAATTGCCTATAAATAAACACCGGATGACGTCATCATGACGTCATCATTACACAATGTTGTTTGAATTAGGGTCTTTGCTTGGACAAAGATTGGTGAAAAAAAAATACTGGCAAAGAGTCGAAAATGCCCTCTGAAAATCGACATTTTTTTAAAAATTTCTGTGTACAAAGTCTATGGGAAAAATTAAATATTCAAAATTCTATAATAAATCACGTGATGACGTCAGCATGACGAAAAGTTTCGGCATACATCCTCAGATGATGGTTAATAACTATGCTGAGTTTAAAGTTGATCGGATTTAAGATAATTGCCAAAGTGACTTGTAGAATAAAAACGTGTACAAAACCTATTGGGAAAAGTGAAAAAAGAAGAAAAAAAATTTAAAAAAAAAAAAAAAAAAAAAAAAACCTTAACGAAAACAAGAGCTGTTCCCAATTGAAATTGAGAACAGCTAATAATTGCTTATTACTAAAATAATTGTAGTAGAATACAAAAATGACACTATAATGCATTTTGAGTCGAAATAAATAATACGATATATGCTAAGTGCGTTCGATTACTTCCCCGCGCCTTGCTCCTCGCGTGATGACAGACATGCGCAGTGGAACTAAATGAACGAACGGTTTCGGGTAAAGTTTTGTGCAAGAGCTGGAAACATGGGCGTCGCCAGGAATTTTTCTACTGGGAAAAAACATTTTCCCCAAAAAAATCCGGTATTTCTCAACATAGTCTCGATTTATCAGTTTTAGAGGGGGCAGGGACATTTTGCCCCCCCCTCATATCAATGAAGGTCATTCATTTTTAAAATGATGATGACTTATATTTTACTTCTTACAGAGTGGAGACAAACAGTACACGAAACTGACATTTCATAAGTTTAGACCACGTGGTTGATGTCAGTATTGGTTGATGAAAAGATGGCCATGTTCATCTATTTTCCAAATTAGTAATAATTGTTCTTATGTTTAATGCCAATATTATTCC